TGTGTGTGTGTGTGTGTGTATATTTTACAAATCAGTTGTTGGTCTTGACTACAATGCAGTGCATTAGCAACATAAAATAAAAAAAAATTGCATGATGGTCACTGTGATGGCTTAAAATCTCTCTAGTTGGATTTTCCCAACATTTTGAAATTAATAGGAACCACAGTGGCTGATAGCCAGACAGCTACCATGTTGTTGTCTTCTGTCTCCATCTGCAGGCCTGTGGTAGAAATGGTACAGGACATCCATGATGGGAACTTTCTCAGATTCGGAACAGGCAAACTAAAAGAGCTTTATAAACTGCTGCCAGAAGAAAGTGAGGTAGGAGCAGTTCCACTCTTCTGATCTTTTCACTCTGGTCCTACAATATATGCATAATGTAAACCCAGTGAGCATGCCTTAGAAAAGGACTACTTTAGGCCTGGTAGCCTCCTCCTGAGCTATATGCAGTAGATATTCTCTGTTTGAAAGAAAAAAAAAAAAGTGTAACACAAGTTTGCAAACATTTCTGAAGAAAATGTTTGCCCATTACTTCATATGGTTCATACTGCTCAAGCAGTGTGATCTAAAAATGACCTGACTACTCTTTATCCTGTTTAATCTTACCTGTTGTATCAATTTACAGGCGAGGCAGCTGCTGTCATTCAGTGGGAACCTCTCTGTGTTACCTGAGGCTGACCAGTTCATGGTGCAGCTGGTCAAAGTGCCAGGGTGAGTCTGGAGTTTGTCAGATTAAAAAATTTTTTTTTTTTTGGTAATTCAAACATTTATGAAATATCTGATGTTCTTTGCCATCCGAAGTTCGTCCACTCGCTCAGAAATGTGTAAAGGTTTTACAGGTTCACTTCTTGTTATGGTTTGCACCATTAACATTATTTTCTGAACTGCTGACAATGAAACAAATTATACGGGAGTTAGTTTTCTGTGTCTGTTACCTTGCATAGGCTGTTGTTTTTAAAATTATACCAAATCTGCACCGCAAACTTCACAAACATGTCAAAATGTGCTTCACTGACAAAACACACTGTTGTTTTTTTGGTGATTTAGTGTTCAGTTTGAAAATGTGGCCTAGATAGGAATGGGTCAAAAAAACTGCTAAATTGAAACATCTGATTCAGTAATGAGTGGTTTTGTTGATGTGTTCTGCTTGTAGCTACAAGGAACGCCTGAAAATGATGGTGCTGAGGGAGGAATTCTTTCCTCTCATGGAAGAGGTGCATAGTTCGGTTGCTGTCATGACCAAAGCAGCTAATGGTAACATTTCACACACAACCACCTAAGCTGCTAACAACCCCAAACTTTGCTCCATTTTACACCACCCAGTTTTGATGCGCTGATTAATTCTTTCTCTCCTCTCAGAGCTGTTGGACTGTGATGACCTCCACTCAGTCATTAGGCTGGTATTAAAAGCCGGGAACTACATGAATGCTGTTAGTATTTTTCTTTAAGAATTATAGTTATATTACCTAGACTAATGTACTATATCAGATGGATTAAAGCTACCATTGCTTTAATACTCAGTATTTATTATACTGACGAATGGATCATTCAAATGATGTGTTATTCAGGGTGGTTACAGTGCCAATGCTATCGGCTTCAGGATGACCTCTCTTCTCAAGTTGGCAGACACCAAGGCCAACAAACCTGGCATGAATCTCATGCACTATGTTGCCAAGGTGAGGAGGAACGGACAGATGAAGAAAATGTGTGCAATCCAGATAAAGCCTACTATTTTGCTTATGTCTCCATGCCAGTTATGTAACTGATTGATTCTCCTGCTCTCTCTCACTCCTTTGTCTTCCACTCTCAGCAAGCAGAGGACATTGATGCTGAGTTGCTGACTTTTCCCAGCCAGCTTGGTCACATTGGGGAGGCATCGAGGTTAGTACACCAGTACATTATTGGTGCACTGATGGCCCATGTGGAAGTTTAACTGAACACAGTTTTTGTTCCCTAACCGTAGCTTCAAATGTTGCGCCTGTTTCAGTCCAAAACTGAATTTGTTTGGTGTAATGTGCACTTTTTTGAGTTCCTTGCAAAATGTGGTTTCACTGTGTAACTGTTACCTGATCCCACAGAATTTGTAAAGAGGAGATAATCACAGACTTTGAGAGAGAGGTCAAGAAGATCAAGGAAGTGAAATTATACAGCAGCAGACAGCCTGACCTCTTACAGCAGCTGGAGACTTTTCTCTTGGTAAAGTTTCCCCTCATCTTCTGACCCTAATTGTGCAAAAGTACCAAGATGTACAGTGTAGCATAAACACAAACTGAGATTGTGAATAATTTCTGCAGAGCTTCATTATATCCTTTTATGTTTTAATTTGTCAGAGGGCTGATGCCAAGCTGGCTGACATGGAGTCCTCTATCCAGGAGCTAACTGTTGTGAGTAATGCTGTTGCTGAGTTCTTCTGTGAAGACCCAGCTAGCTTCAAACTGGAGGAGTGCTGCTCCATCTTTCATTCATTCTGCAAGCGGTTTCACACAGCTGTACAGGTAGAGAAAAGATCTGCCTTAATACTTAATCATGCTATGGAACAAACTGTATCGCTGCATAAAATATGCTTTCTTTATATTTGTGTTGTCTTCTAGTATGCTTATTTGTCTGCGCTATGATATCTTACTGAACATATCCTCACTTTACCTGGCTGTAGGAGAACCGAGAGCGAGAAGCCGCAGAGCAGAGACGCAAGCGGAAGGAGAGCATGCGCACTACAGCAAAACGCCGCTCCACAGTTCCCAACTCACGACCTGAGCCTGAGTGGGACTCCTGCAGCTTGAACTCGGCCTTACACAGCTTTCTGTCCACCGCTCCAGAAGGATTAGCCAGATGTAGGAGAAACATGATGCCCCCAATTGAAGGATCCCCCTCTGACCACAGTTCTCAGACTGTTCCATCTGAAGAAATATCTGAGGCTACAAGAGAGAGGCCTGAGAAGAAACAACCCAAACTGCAGAAAGAGGATGAGCAGCTTGCAGGACTGGAAAACAAAGAGGAAGCTGAGAAGATGCGCGAGGTAACTCGAAAGGTGCTTCGCTACCAACGCAGCAAAGGTCAGCTTGATGGAGACAGAGTTTCAGGCACTCCATGCCGGTCAGAGCGAGTGCAACACAGTCCAGCTACTCCGAGTACTCCTCAGCCTAGAACCAGAGACTTCTTCTTTGCCAACAATGGGGAGTTTGGGTCCCCGTGGACTATCCTGAGTCCTTTTGTTTGCCCCCGAAGGAACACCCCACAGAGAAACAGGCAAGCACACCAACAAAGACTGTTCTCCACACCTGGATTAGAAGACCTTGATGATGGAGTCTGGGAGAGTGACGACGGCAGTAGTCTTCTAAATGGTGCCATTCGGGACAGCCAAATATCTCATTCTGGTTCTGCGTCTCTTCCTGAGTGCCATAGCCGCAGGCCTGTGTCTCAGGGTCCAGTCCTTAGATCTGTTTCTATGGATGAAACCAGCAGATCTCCAGCATCTGGATTCCGGCTGGGGAACCTCTTTCAGCGAAGCAAATCTCAGAGGTCATACTCCTCTGGCTCAAGGACAGAAAATACGCAAGAAGGAACAGGAGTCTATCCTAATCATATAGACGGTCAAGTGTCCACCTCTGGCTTCATATCCTTCTTCAGACGCATTGGTGGCAGAAGTAAACCTGGTGATGCAGAAGAACAAGGGTTATGATAATTTTATTTACAGACAAATTTATGTTTTAAACTGTTTTGTCTTTTTTTCCTGTTGTGGTTTTATCCTTTAATGTATCCAAGGCAAATGGGGACTTGCTTTGAACTGTGTAGGTCTTGGTTTTTGGGAGTCAAATCACATTCAAAAATCAGCACATCTTTCTTTTTTGTGTTTATGTGCGCAATAAAGGATAGCATTGTCTTTTTAAAATGTACTTGTATGTGGATTACCTTACTACAGCATTACATTTAAGTGTTATTCACTGCTTTTCAGATTGAAAAGTATCCTTTTCCACCCTTATCATAACATCCTTGGAAGTCTGACTGGTGCTAATGTCTCCCTGTGACACCTGCTCAGTTTCTAGGTGGTTACTTTTCACTTCATCTGTTATTTCTTCTGCCTTTCTAGCAGGAAGGCAGTTGTCTACTCTTAAGTATACACACTGAGGTAA